TATTGGAGAGTTTGGATTTGAAAATTGAAGAATTAGATTTTTTTTGGATTTAGGGTTGGAAGATTTGATATTTAAAAATAGAAATTGCACCATCTAACACTTAAAGCGGATGGTGGGGGAATGGATGATCGGCTCGATCAGGATCCCATGGTTTCGTCGTCCTGGGCCATCGTGGTCCCTGGTCTACTTAGTCAGAGGAGGTAGTCGACCCAACCTGATAGAAGGATCCTTGTCGGCAGCCATGGGTTGCTTCGTCCAAGGGGACCTTGTAGACCGAGGTTGAATGTCTGTCTAAGGGGACAAATTTAAATCCACCTTAGCTAACAGAGGGCTTTGTGCCCTATCAATCATATCCTATTGATACATATCTCAAGGATTTGATGCTTTTAAGGATCGTATTGGTGCTGTCCATAACCGGTATTTCGTGGTACCATTTGGTGGCAAAACCACTCGGTTCAGAGGGCCCCGGGTCATAACCATTTACCTGCAGTGCCATTTGGCGGCAAAACTGCCGGTTAGAGGACACGTACCACGTCCTTACTGGCAAAAGATTGTTTGAGAATGGATCCTAGTGATATTTTCGACTAGGCATTTGGCTCTTTGTGAGCTAGAGTTTATTTAAATTTGTCCACCCCGACAGACTGTTGCGGAGGGTGGATGGATTTTGCTTTAAGTGATTAATGGGTTGAATTTCAAATTTAAATATTTTTAGGATTTTGTGGAGTTTTTGGATTTGACATTGTGGGTGAAGTTTGAAAATATTTGGGAACCCTCCGGTTGAGATCTGCATTCAACACGGCCATCATCGGGGTTGTATTTGGGGTCATTTCATTTGTTAGATTAACCTTGTCGACCCTTCAACTTAATTATAGAGGATCGGGTTTCACTGGCTTTATGCCTTTGTTGGTGAATTTTCTTGATTTTAGGTCTTGAAGGCCTAAAATGAATGTATTTAAACAAATCACCGGTCGCTAGAACCGTGTATTTTGTTAGTAGTTCGAATCTTGTCGACTTCTATTATCCGTATAGAAGGATCGGATTCGAACTTAAATTCACTTGTCAACCCGCGTAGCATCCATAGGCGTCACGTGTGTACCAATAGCACGCTCGCCGGGGCCCATGCGGGTTGAGATTGATTTACCTTGTGTACCTATGTGTATACAAACTACGGTGCACGTGTAAGGGTATTTTAAAACTTTGTTAGTTGTGCATGTTATTTGTCATTTGAATGCACAACATTTCTTGAAGAGCTTATACCGCCTTCTGTCTGCTTGTATCAGTGTTGAGATCCTGGTGCGTACTGGTCTTGATATTGACTCCCCCCCTTTCTTCATTCACCGGGGAAAATCTTTCTGGACTTTGGAGTCAATGACTGTTGATTTAGAAAAACTCATTTTAGGGTCTTCGGCGTAGCAGACTTGTTATTTCCGTGTTTGTAGACACCAGAACAGTTTTTTTCTCAAGTATGGAAATTAGAAGACTTGGAACACCCGAAAGTTTGGTTCTAATTTGTTCAACATTTTCTCCCTTCTGCCGGGGTTGCCTTTTTCGTACATCGGGCTGCCTTTGTACCCGATGTACTTGTAGATTTGATCACCGCTGTCTAGGTGATATCTTCTTACTTGTGTCCACAGTATTCTTGTACATTACATTGTTATCCACAAGTGTGTTCATTTGCATTTGTAAGGGACCGTACTTATGCCCACAGTGGATTCATCGTATTTTCAACACACTGTTGTTATCCACAATGTATTCATATGCATTTGTAGTGGACCGCTGTATTCACTACGAGCTTTTAGAAAATGTTTTGCAGGAGTTCATTTTTCTGCATCATATTCACCCTTTCACCATCTCGGGTGGTTTGATTGTACTTATTTGACCTCATAGGGATCGTCGTAGGAGATACCTGTACTTGTGCCCACAGTTGGTTCGTTGTCCTTATGAAGTACCCGCTGTTTGTTGTCACAACGATTCATTTGCTGATGCATTCGGGTCATTATTCCGCTACGACCTCCTAGAAGTGTTCGTAGGAGACCTCTTCGTCTTGATCCAGCCACCTTTCACCAATCTCAGGTGGTTCATGATTTCCTTGCTTGTAGGGATAGATCTTTGATTTGCTGGTCTCCCGTATTGCATCTCGATCAACAGGCATTGTAGGGATTGTTGTAGAAGTTCGTGCATCAGGTCCTTGTAGTTTTGAGCTTCCCGTGTGCGATTCAAATTTGATCTTTGCATGTGTTTTGATCCAAAATTAGTTTCATTCAGACTTGAATTCATCTCTTTCTCAAATTTAATATAACATATACAAGTTTACAAGTCCCCACTTGATATCGTCTATAACGCTGAGTTCAAGTGCGAGTTCAACTGGCTTTATTCTGGATTCGGATCCAGTCCAAATCAAAGTCTTGTTTGATGTTCTAGTCTTTTTCAAGTCCCCTTCAGTCCTTTGATTCAATTATTGCATTGCGTCACATTTGTTCAAAGTTCTTCTGAGTCTTTGTAAGTTCAGTTTCATGTTCAAAATTGATTTTGAATTTGGTCACAGTTTGATTTCATTTCATTTGAATTTGGTCTTTATTAATCATTTGAGTTCAAGTTCTGGTCCACAAGTTCACTGTTCTTCGTATAGGTCCTCTGTTCATTTTAGTTCAAGTTCTGTGCTCTTCTGTTCAAGTACAGATCTTCTATATTGTTGCCCAAGAAGATTTTCAAAATTGTTCAAGTCTTTGTAAATTTCAGTGAAAATTTCGGCAGCACCCGGCATATCCCCGTTTGGGGAAATTGGGAGCTGGACCTTCCCACCACGCTACTAGAGCGTGTATGGTAGGTGTTCGTAGACACCGCGGCCGTACAAATTTTCATCCCACCACGCTACAAGAGCGTGTATGGGGCCTTCAGCAGTACCCGTACCAGAACAGTAGTGACGTACCAGAGCAGCAATGACTTCCCACCACACTACAAGAGCGTGTAAGGCTCTCTCCACACTCGTCGTATGCGTCGCACCGGCTCCCTCCTACCGTGCTACAAGAGCGCGTATAGTGGTTCTCCGGTCCGTGCAAACGTCGAGAATAGGATTTTGGACCATCATACCTTTGCGTAGCAATGTCGGCAGTGTCAGTGTCGAGGTCGAGGCCGAGGACCGTCCCCACCACGCTACAAGAGCGTGTATAGGGCTTACCCGCCTCGTCGTATGCTTCACACCGGGCTCCCTTCTACCGTGCTAACAGACGCATATAAGCGGTCCCCGGTCCGCTGCAAACTCGAGAACGGGATTGGATTAGAAAATTATACCTTGGCAACCCGCGAGGTAGCAGTGTCAGCAAGGTCGGGTATACGACGATCGAGGCATATGCATTCAATTTATAATTAATCATAAATTAATTATAATTAGTTATATTTAATTTATAACTAATTATATTCAATTTAAAATTAATTATAAATCAATTGGATTTAATTTATAACTAATTAAAATCTAATTATAATTAATCATAGTTAAAGTATAATTAATTATATTTAATTTGAAATTAATAACAAATCAATTATTTCTGACTTAAAATTAATTATAAATTATCTAATAACTAATTATATTTGAATTATAATTAATTATATTTAATTCAATTATTAATTATAAATCAGTTATTTCTAATTTATAATTAATAATAAATTAACTTACAACTAATTACGTTCAAGGTATAATTAGTTATACTTAATTAAAAATTAATTAAATCAGAAATATCTAATTTATAATTAATTATAAATTAACTTATAACTAATTATATATTAGATTAATTATATTTATTTTAAAATTAATCATAAATCAATTATTTTCAATTTATACAACTAATTATAATTGATTATATTGAATCTGTAATCAATTATATTTAGTTTAAAACTAAATATAAATCAATTTTATAACTAATTAAGAAACAGAACTATCAACTCCTAATTGAATGGTAGGAGTTAACAAATTTCGGATTAGAGAATTTTGAAAATAAACCTATGCTCGAGTAAGGTTTATACTAAAGTATTTGGGCAAGATTTTTGCAAAGAAAATTTAACGGAATACATTTTTTTTTTTTAAATGGATTTAAATAGAGTTCATACAAAAGGATTTGAATAGAGCTTATAATACAGAATTCATGGATTATGAAAATCCCTCAACCAATGAGACCGTCATATTTTTATTTGGTAATACCCATGATAGTAGTAATTTACAAATGATTATAATCAATCATAGTTAAATTAAAATTACAATAAAATATGATTAATCAAAGTTATAATTATCATAATTGGTTAAATAAAAAAAAAGTTTTCACCTTCTGCTATGATCTGCTTATATAACATTGAAGATAAGGCTTGTGAAGGATACAAAAGCACTTGCGGCAGAGATTAAAAAGGATATCGGTTACAAACTTAAGCTTAATTGCAATTAGCATTTTATCTATTTACAATTAAACATATTTAATGATATTTAATTGTAATTAATTATGATTGATTTTAATTAAATATAATTGATTTGTGGAGATCAATTATAATTAATTCGTAATCGATCATAGTTAATGATAATTAATCATCATTAGGAGCTATTGACTGCCATAAGGGATGACTACAATTGAACATAACTAACTATGATCAACACTTATTTATTCTCAACTAATGATTTTGAGTACAATTAATTATAATTAGTGGTGTCTAATTGTAATTAATTATAATTGCTCATAATTAATAGCAACTGATTAATGAAAATCAATTACGACTAATCATAATCAATTATGATTAACTGTAACTAAATATCACTGATTTTAATTAACTGTAGGGAAATATAACCAAAGCAGAATATGACTAATAATAATAAATCATTACAGTTAACTATATTCAATTTGTAATTGAATTTACCTTACTGATAACCATTGATAACAACTATAATCAGTAAAGTAAAATGACATAAAAAGGACATTTGAAAGAATCTTCACCTTTTTGCTTTGTTGAAACTGACACAGTGAAATCCTGAACAAGGTTTTGATGGGTACGAAGCTTGCGACAGGTGGAGTAGAGGAAAACGTGACAGTAAAAAAAAAATTTGGTAAAGTGTTTTTTCCGGGTTAGCGTGCCAATGGATGTGGATGGCGAGATCAAGGCAAATCAGGATTAAAACCGAGCCATAGAGTCTCTTATACGGCGGCCAGACTTTGGATGTGGAGAAATGACGGGAAACTTGCGGGCTTGAGGGTGATTTCGAGAGCTTAGGGAAGATGTGCGTTGGATTAACTCCTCCTTTAACAACCTGGAAGAGATGAAGCTGACGAGTGGATTAGATCAGAGATTGAACGGAGGATTTGAGCTCAAGAAAGGAGAAGAGATCTGGCTCTCAGAGGGGATTTCAACGGAATGCTTTGAGTGTGCAGGGTGGAACCTAAAACAACTGCTTCGTTGTTATTTTAAAAGGTGACGGGGAGGCAAGCTCTTTAATTGACAACAAGCCACCAGCGAAGATCGTGGGTGAGGGACGTATAGAGGTCGCCTAAAGCTCGTGGTCGGAGGTCCGGTTGGCGGCGAGGTAAGGCTTTTGCATTAATTGGATCTGATTTTTATTTATTATTTTTGTTTTCTTTTAAAATAATAATAAATATTATTATTATAGTTAAATAATAATAATAGTCATTATTTTTAAAATGGCAGAAATAAAAAATAATAATTTTCACATTGATTTTCGTGTAATTTCCTCGAAATCCATGTCGGATCACATCGATTTGGGCGCGTAATTTTCTTCGAGCAAATTTATAGTCCCTTTTAAGCAATTTGGACGTCCTGAATTCAACGACGCAGTCCGTTTTGTATTCGGAGGTCATTTGGTTGATGTCGCACGTTGCTTTTGTCTCCGATTTTACTCTTTTTCGCACATAATTTGATTCATGGGTCAACAGTATATTATTCAAATTGTGCTCCAATTGTATCATAAACTATGTCCTTAAGAGGTCGGATATTTTCTTCATCAGCTATATTAGAACTTGTAGAAGGGCCGCATCGAGAATTGAAATATGGCTCGTACTCACCATGAGAAGTCCAATATCAACATTCTTGCATGAATCTTATGCGATATAGATCAGCAATTATGTCATCTGGTGTGAGGTACACTTGATTTTTATGTTTAGAACATAGACATCCAAACTTTTTATTTGAGATGAAGCTAGGTAGTTGACAGACCTTTTCGATGAAAAATTTCGCCTCATTAATGAACTCTTCTGTTAATGTGTTTTGTCCTTGCACCAATCGGTTATACATCCAACTTATTTGATTTCTAATATCCATAATATGAAGAATTTAGGCTATGTCTAATATCCATAACACTGCCGTTGCCAGGTCCCAAGTCCTGGATGAGAAAAGTGGAGGGTTGCGTTAGGTAGTCGACAGCCAGCGTAAAACTTGTCGAACAATAATGACATGAATCCTTTAAGAAATTGTGAGAAAAAGGATTCATGTAGCCGACCCCACGTAGTGGGATAAAGGCTTGATGTTGTTGTTGTTGTTGTTGTTGTTGTTGGAATAGCATCTACTAAAGGAAAATTGATTGAATTCAAATTGATTTGCAAATTAATTCTTATTTAAATCTAATTAGAAGGTTAACAAATTAACAACACAATCGAAACATTAATCCTAGTATATGGGGTCGACTACATGAGTCCTTTTTCTCTATTGTGTTCTATTAAGAGTCAAATTCTCATTTAAATCTAATAAAAAAAGGTCATTTGTAATATTTTGTAACCAAGTCTTTTTAGGTTTTCCTCTACATTTTTTAACATAAGCTAAATCAAATACCTCTACTTTCCTAACTGGGTCATAGGGAGGATGCCATTTTATGTGACTAAACCATCTAAGGTGACTCTTTCATTCTTTCTAATCTTATATCTTCCATCGGAGCTTCTCCAACCTTTTAACGTATATGCTCATTTTGTATATTGTCTTTAAGAGTAAAGCTACTCATGAGCATTGTTATCTCTGCAAACACTTAACTTAATGTTATGCTTCTTTTTTTAATGACTAACATTTAACACCATAAAGCATTGTAGGTCTCACCACATCTTATAGAATTTTCCCCTAAGTTTGAGGGGAATTTTATATCACACAATAAGCAGAATGCATTCATCCACTTTAACCATCCAACTTGAATTCTACTAATAGTATACACATCTATTTCACCAGCACTCCCTCTCTAGTCTTATCAACAAGAAGAATATCATTAAAAAAATGCGTACACCATGGTGCAATCTCTTGCAAATGTCTACCGAGAACATCCATGACCAAAGCAAAAAAGAAATGGGCTTATGGCAGAACAACTTACGGCGGTTCCGACGACTAAGGTGGCGAACGATGGCGACGGAGCGATTACACGAAGGCGATGGAGGCGGCATTCGGCAGGAGGTGACTCACACGACCAGTGAATGAGCATGAATGAAATGAATAGGAAGACGATCGCGAACAACACCGGGAGGAAAATATGCCTTTTTCGACAGTAATGCCGGTGGATTTTCTGCAAGAAACATTTCTGGAGCATTTCCACCAGAAATATTTTGTCGTGTTTAAGACTTTAAGTAAGCCGACGAAAAACCGCCAGCAGCTCTGTTAGAAATTTTTGGCGCTTTTTTTGCCTTAAGTTACCTCCGGCTTTAGAAATAGGTGGCATTTCTTGTAGGTTTGCCACTGGAAAATTACCGGCTATTTATCTACCAGAAAATCTGCCTGGAAGTGACCGGTGGAATATTCGCCGATTACACTACTGCCACTACCGGTGGATATAATTTGGCCGGAAAGTCTGCTAGTATAGCCAGTTTTTCCTCTAGTGATGATATTTGCCTGAAATTTTCATGATGTTGTTTCCTATATGAAGCTGATGTCAGTTTGCATGTAATTACGTTGTTTAAATATGAATATCTAGGTTTGAGACATAGCATACCATGTTTCTACGGCCAAAATTATTCTCTATGATTTCATTTGTCTAATGACCAATGTGGTAAAATTATTTAACGTGGAATTGTAATAACTGAAGTGTTACTCTTTCCAATAAAATTCCCAAAAGAGTTAGAGCTAGCACCTTTATAACAAAATATGATTCGAAATTGGGATGTAGAACACATATAGAACCGGCAGGAAAAACAAGGACATGAGAAATAGGAATTCTCAGTAAGATTTGGAAAATGGGGTTAATTGACTAATCTACCCGAGCTTTGGACACCCTTGGATGGCTTGCCAATGGAGGAGAAGAGATAATACTCGGGTAAGGGCTTCTTTGGTTGAATCTAGGAGAGAGAAGAGATATTAATGATGAATTTATTTTATTTACTTCTACCTTGAATGTTACATTCTAAAACCTATTTTTAGAAAAATAGTTGTCAATTCTTATTGATCCATAATCCAACTGAATGAATAATTTTTTAAAATCTCATCCAATGGAACACTACATCTATTTAAAAATTAATTTAAGCTAATGAATAAGAAACATCCATATCTCGATATAAAAAATAAAGAAATGAGATAATTTTAACTTGAATTAAGGGAATATTTCTTTCATCTCTTTGTATAAGGTAGTCCATCATATAGGATGAGGAAGTTTTTAAATGGTGTTTGGGAAGTTTCTCTTATTTTCTCTAGTTGACTTTTTATCTTCTCTCTCCTTGGAAAACCATCTCAATTCAAAATTCAAATTATAAAATTTTTTAATTATATCTCTTAGTTTTAATTCAAAATTCAAATTATAAATTTTGAAGTGGAGGAATGCATCGGGCTTGTTGTGTGATAGAAAAGCCCCCCTCAAATTTAAGGGAAAATTTTATAAGATGGTGGTTAGACCGGCAATGCTTTATGATGCATAATGTTAGCCATTAAAAGAGAAACATGATATTAAGTTAAGTGTTGCAAAGATGAGGATGCTCATGTGGATGAGTGGCTTTACTCTTAGAGACATGATACGAAATGAGCATATAAGTGAAAAGGTTGGAGTAGCTCTAGTGAGCATATACGTGAAATGAGCATATACCTTATATGGTTTGGTCACATAAAACGGCGAACTTTTGATGGCCTGGTTAGGAAAGTAGATGTATTAGATTTAAATATGTTAAGAAAGGTAGAGGTAGACCTAGAAGGCTTGTTTAGAAAATATTAGAAATGATCTTTCTTTATTAGATTTAAATGAGAATTGAACTTTTAACATGACACAATGGAGAAAAAAGGTTCATGTAGCCGACCCCACATAGTGGGATAAAGGCTTGATGTTGTTGTTGTATGTCTTAGTTTTAATTTCTAAATATCTCTTTATAAGGGTTAAACATACAATTTTTTTCTTAAGCATCTTTTTGATCAAGGAATACTTGTCTTGATGCGAACAAACAAGTATTTGTGCATGTAAAACCAATGAGAGCACTAGTGCCAATCTTTACCTTTATGGTATAGATGATGGAGGAATAATTCTCTAGAAAATTAAAGGTCTCTCGGTTTGATTTCTACTGCATAATTACCATCTTGATGGAGAACCTTGTTGAGTTTGAGGCAATGATGCCCTTTAATAGAATATCTAACGATGTTAGGTGTTTTTTGTTTCTGCCCTAAAGGACATGCCTTGCAATGGTTCTCCAATTTCCCAATAAGGAGCATGCATTATTTGATGAATTTAAATGACAACTTGCTGAATTGATAAGCTTTCAAAAGTTGATTGTTAAACTAAAGTCTTATGATTAAAGCAACAACTCTTAGATCTTGGACTACCTGTAGGAACCATTCCAATTATGTGTGATAACAATAATGCTATTTGCATATCCAAAAATTCAATTCAACACTTCTGCACAAAACATATAGACATTAGACATCATTTTATAAGAGATCATGTAGCCAATAGAGATATAGAATTGCATCATATAGCTACAGGAGATCAATTGGCGTCTACATCTTGACAAAACCCCTAGCCCATGACACCTTCAGCACCTTGGACAAAACTATGTGTTATAGACATTCATGTTTAATTTAAGATAAATAAAAAAAAATTATTTGAAATCATTCTTTCAAATGTGTTAACCTGTATGTATTTTTTCTTGTGCATGTTTATGTGTTATTGTTTGTTGTTTATGATTAAAAAAATATTATTAAATTTTTTTTCTGTTTAAGATGTTTCCTTATCATCACACACACATCACTGACTCACAAAATCTGTCAAATTAATATCTATATTGTAATGTATGATCCACATTCATACTATACGATAAGCACATATCACAACCTTTAGATTAGATCCGAGTTATATAATCGTACTATACGAACTCTTACTCTTACTGTACGATCTACGTGTAACTAACTGTTGAGGAATTAAATTTGTTTGTTACGAAATTGTTACCAATCGTCCGGTACGATAATTATTGTGTTTTGTACAGTACGAACACATGTTCGTACTTTACGATACTTTTCGTCAAACACCGCACTGACGACTGCTTGGGACGATCGTAATTTCTTAAGATCGTCAAGTACGATATCTGATCATATTGTACGATTTGACCACTTTTTCCGACAAGTCGT